CAGTTCTCTGAATCTTTGTAGATTTTCCTCTCACCCTCTGGGGAACATGTCTTAACAAAGCTTCTAATGTGCATGACATCCTTTTCTCATGCCCTTTTCAGATTGATGTCATTGATATAATTAATAACTGTGATGGTCTGCAGATTTTAGATGGTCCAGATCTCCTTGTACTGTATTTTGAGGTGATGAAATCACAAATACTTATTTTATCTTTCCTTTGTAAATTGCTTTTCTTTCGTGATTGGGATAGGAAAGAATACAGTTGTTCAAATCTATTACTATATGCCATATACCCTGAACCCATATTAATCTGGAATAGCAAAAGTACTACTTCCAGAGGCTACTAATTGGTAGAGTTTGCAGAAGTCTACTATACCTTTCAGTTACATTCACAGACTGGTGTATAAATAGACATATGATAGTGAGATGTAATGGTGACCACCAACCTTACATCCTTTTGATCTAATCCCTACTATCTCCCTAGGATGTGATGCAGTTTTTTATTTACCATTCTAGCTTGAGGGGAAAGGAGGTAATCTCAGACTTCCACATGGCCTTTTCCACTTGTAGTTCTTACACCACAGGCCAAGGATCCAGTATGTGGAGTGACTCCACAGCCAATGTCAATAGTTACAAATTTAGGGATCCACAAGATGGCCATCAGATGGTCTGTAGGCCCAACAGACCTACTGTAAACTACAGACTTTGGCCAGAAATCCACTTACTACCCCACCCTCACATATGCCTATTCTAACTTAACAATCATGATAATGCTTTAGGTCTCTGGGTATCACTGTTCACTCAGCTCTTTTATATGACAGTCTTCAAGACATCTGGGTATTCGCCTTTTTCCATTGTGCCTTTGCTTAAGTAAATGGTCACAGGTCCCTGCGGCAAGAAAAAAATGTCCCTCAATCTCTGATTCCTGGTATTCATGCCCTTTCCCTTGAGCATAGGCTGACTTAGCAACATACTTCTAACCAACAGAATATGGCAAAGATCATAGGAAGTCACTTCCATCATTGTTACAAAAGATTGTAACTTACTTCTTGCTAGAAGACTCTTTATTGACTCTCTTGTTGGCTTTGATGAAGATGACACATTGGAGAAGTCCACATGGCAATGAACTGAGGGTAGCCCTTGGCCAATAACCAGCAGGAAACTGAGGTCCTCAGTCTAGTACCCTGTAAGGAACTAAATCCTGCAAATAATCATGTGAGATTCTACAGTTGTGCCTTCAGGTTGTGTGTTTCAACCAGGCACTGGCCCCCTCTCTGAAGTGCACTCAGAAGAAAGATTGATATTCTGTACAGTACTTTAAAGGCCCACTGGATGATTTCCTGTGAAGGAACGGCAGTTGCCATGCGGCGTGCTAAAGTCTACACTCCTAAAACCGGATGGCTAAGATCCTACAGAACACCTTGGCTGGTGCTGCTGCTTTTGCCTGTGTAAGCAAATAGATTCTGAACCTCAGAGTTATAGGGAAAAAAACAGCCATGGAACCCTATGAAAAGTGGCCACAAATGCTTTTTCTCCACCTTCTCTATAGAGCTGTAAGACATCATTGTCCTATTAGACAATTATAAAACAAAATTAGAAACACTCTGGGTTTGAGAGCCACAGATTGTCAACATCCAGGAAGGAGAATAGGAAAATCAGTAACCAGGGTTGCTAAAACATATTAAAATATATTGCCTAAAGTGTCCACTTCAAATAAAAAAATAGGAGACATACCAAAAAAAAAGGAAGATATGGTCCATACAAAGGAAAAAAAGTAGGCAATAGGAACTGTCAGAGTACCTAAATGTCAAATTTGACAAGGACATCAAATCCATTAAAATTATGTTCAAGAACTAAAGGAAACCATGTTAAAACAGGAAAATACAATTACAATGCTTTATCAAAGATCAAACACTAATAAAGAGATTGAAATCATAAAAAGAAGCAAACAGAAATTCTGAAGTTTAAAACTACAATAACCAAAATGAAGAAATGACTTGAAGGGCTCAACAGACTTGAGCCAGCAAAACAAAGAATCAAGGAATGTGAAATAAAGAATGAAGAAAAATGAACAGAGCCTCAGAGAAACATAGGACACCATTTCTCTTCCTGCACTTCACCAACATACATGAACAGAGGCAAGAAAATGCACACAGAGAGCAGAGAAGCAGAATAACCTTCAGGATTTCAGAGACCCATTCTTTATTGGTGAATTAAAGACAAGAGCAGGAATTTAAAGTGCAGAAAAAGAAAAAACAGGTGGCCCAAATAGTTATTAAAATCAATCAAGGTCTCTAAATCAAAGGAAGCTTGGCCGTGGAAACATCAGACTCTTTATCTAGTCATGTGGCTGGCAACGTGTTTATTCAAGATAGCAATCTTTGAAGTGGCTGCCTCACTAATCAATGCCTAAGTCAGACATTTGGTTCATAAAAAGAGAAAAACAGGCTTATGCTACACAATATTTATACAACCGTATACAATATAATTATATTGTTAAGCCTAGACCACACAGAAATGTACTATATTAAACAATAACAGCACAAAGAAGGTGGGTGACAACAAAGTTATACTGAAGTAGGAAAACACCATATATTAACGAGTCCACAGCAAACAAAGAAATGGAAATGGCAAATAAAAAGGTCAATATAACAAACCCGATAATATATATTTTGCCTTTGTTTACTCAGCATCTTAGGCACAAAACTATTTTGGGCTTGTAACATAAATAAAGATATACTACATATAATAACATAACATGGAGGAAGAGGAGATGGAGCTATATAGTGGTAATATTTCTGTATCTCACTGGAATTAAATAGTGTACAGATGGAGTAGATTTTGGTAACTTAAAATGTATATGGAAAACTACACAGGAAAGATTAACACAATCTCAAACAAAATGCAGTTAATCACCACTAGACTTGCCTTCAAAAAAATGGTAAAAGGAGTTCAAGTTGAAATGAAAGGACTCTAAGTAACAATATGAAAACATACGAAATTATAAAACTCAGATAACTAGTCAAATTCAGAATACTCTAATATTGTACTGGTGGTACATAAATGACTTTTAATTCCATAAAAATTAAGTCAAAGTATTAAAAATAACTATAGCTACAATAATTTCTTGATGCATAATATAAAAAATTCGCTCAGAATATATCTTAAAATGTGGGAGGAGGGCAGAAGTAACAGCACAGAGTTTTTTGCGATTGCAGTTATTAACATAAAGTAGACTAATTATATTTTATGTAAGCCTCACTGAAACCACAAAAAACCTATAGTAGATACACAAAAGATAAAGTACTCAAAGGATAGCTCTATTTAAAAAATCGTATCACAAAGCAAGATAGCAACAGAGGAAGGGACAAAGGAACTAACTACAATACAATCAGAAATACTGAATGAAATGCAATAATGACTTACCTATCAACAACTGCTTTAACTATAGAAGATTATATTTGCCAATCAAGGACACAGAGTGGCTAAATAGATTAAAATAACAAGATCCAAAAACATGCTGCTTACAAGAGAATCACTTTAGCTTTTAGGACACACATGGGCTGAAAGTGGAAAGGATGGAAGAAGATATTCTATGTAAATGGTAAGCAAAAGAAAGCAGGGGTGACTATACTTAGAAAAAATAGATGTTTAGTCAAAAATCTGTCACAAAAGGATCACTATAGAATGATAAGTGGCCAACTTATAAACAGGATATAACTACTATAAATATATATGCACCCAATATCAGAGCACCTAAATATATAAAGCAAATATTGACAGATCTGAAGGGAAAAAACAGATAGCAATGCAATGATATAATAATCGCAATAAATAATTACAGTGGGAACTTCAATATCTCACTTTCAACAATAGATGGCTCATCCAGATGGAAAATCAGTAAGAAAACAGTGAACTTGAATAACACTTTAGACCAAATGGAACTAACAGACATACACAGAACTTTCCATCAAACAAGAGTAGAATACACATTTTTCTCAAGCACACACAGGACATCCTCCAGGACAGATCATATGTTAAGTCACAAAACAAGTCTTAGCACATTTAAGATTGAAATATCAAGTATCTTTTTTTAACCACATGGTATGCAACTAGAAATTAACAGGAGAAAAATTGGAAAATTCACAAATATATGAAAATTATATATTTTCAGGACTACACACTCCTAAACAATCAATGGGGGTCAAAAATAAATCAAAAAGGAAATCAAAGTGTCTTGAGAAAAATGAAACTGGAATCGAAACCTAAAAAAAAGAAAAAAAAGAATAAAGCAAATGCATTCTAAGAGGGAAGTTATAGCAATTAATTTAAAAGGAAGTTGAAAGCCTACATTAAGATCTTAAGTAAACTACCTAGCTTTACACCTCAAGGAACTAGAAAAAGAACAAGTCCAGTTTGTATAAGGAAGGAAATCATCAGAGCAGATACAAATGGAGACTAGAAAGACAATAGAGAAGATCAGTAAAGCAGGTAATTTTTTAGCTAGTCTAACAAAAAAAAAAAAGAGAGAGAGAGAGAAACTCAAACATAAACAAAAACAGAGTTCCAATATTGCAGAACAGGCATTGAAGGATTTTGTCGCAGACAGGCAGTAAATTGATATTGGCACAATGTGTGTAAATCCCTGGAATATATTAAAAATAAATAATAGCAGGCTAACTGTGGACCAATGATGAGACTATCATGAATCAAGGATTATAATTAATCCACTTTTGTCCAAAGAATTAAAAACATTTAATTCCTGGAAGAATAAAAAAGAAGTGACAGCTGTGGGTGCCCCTGTGTAGGGAAAGCAGGTGGTAACAGGACTAGATATTAGAGGAGACTTAATTTTCACTTTACTTTTTTTGTAATTTTTACATTTTATAGCATGTACTTTTGTATCCTAAAATTTTTAATTAAAAATTAATGTAAATCAAAGCATACACACACACACACACACACACACACACACACACTCTTACAACTAGGAATCTACCCAACAGAAATAAGAGAGTGACATTTAAGAATGTTTATTGTATTATCATTTTTGGCAAAAAAGTAGAGACAGTTTGAATGTCTACAAGAATGGCTCATGATACTGACATACATCCCATACTATAAATACTCTGAAGCCTTAAAAATGAATTCCATCTATACATATTCATCAGAAAAATGTCAATTATTTAAATGAAAAAGGCAAACTGCCACAAAATATGTCACTATAAGGGGTAAAACCTCTTCCATACACATGAAATTCTTCCTTTACACACAGTAAAATCTCTTCCAATAAATCCTTCATACATGCAGGTATGTTTGAGCATGAAGAAAGGAGAAACACACACATATTTGTTCTGAGAGATTTGTGGGAAGAAATTTTTTTTCATTTTAATTGTCATTAAATGGTTTTAGCCAAACTATTGGTTTTAGCAAAAACATATGGTTTTATAAAATTTACTTCCAATACTGGTTATTCTAATAACTCAGAAACAGCACTGAAACCAGAGTAATTTAAAACTTTTAGTAATTTTTACATTTTCTCTTGCAGAAAACTGATTTTCAATAATTAAATCATTTAATAATGAAAATAATAAAATTCATTTTCACCTACTTTTTCCTTGAAAGAAAAAAATGTGTATCTCCAAAAACAATTTCATGATGTAAGACTAGGATGGGAAGAGAGAAAACCCTACTGGTGTTTCAATATGAACTGTTTGATGTAGATTAAATCATAAACCATGATTAAAAGCCTTTCCACATTCATAAGGTTTCTTCCCGGAATGGATTCTCTGATGGTGTGAGAAGCTTGAATGATAGCTAAAGGCTTTCCCGCATTCCTTACATTCATATGGCTTCTCACCAGTATGAATTCTCTGATGTTGAATAAGGTGTGAATGAAGTCTAAAGGTCTTACCACATATCATACATTCATGAGGTTTCTCACCAGTATGAATTCTCTGATGTCTTTTGAGGTGTGAACATTGTCTAAAAGTCTTCCCACATTCCTTACATTCATAGGGTTTTTCACCAGTATGAATCCTCCGATGTAGGGTAAGCTGTAAGCCATCACAAAAGGCCTTCCCACATTCACTACATTCATAAGGTTTTTTGCCGGAATGAATTTTCTGATGGTGAGAGAAGCTCGAGTGGTAGCTAAATGCCTTCCCGCATTCTCTACATTCATAGGGTTTCTCACCAGTATGAATTCTCTGATGTATGGTAAGGTGTGAGCGATGCCTAAAAGTCTTTCCACATTCTCTACATTCATAGGGTTTCTCACCAGTATGGAGTCGTAGATGTTCAGTAAGTTGAAAGCCACGAATAAAAGCCTTCCCACATTGCTTACATTCATAGGGTTTTTCACCAGTATGAAGTCTCTGATGTTGAGTAAGCTGTGATCGCTGCCTAAAGGCCTTCCCACATTCCTTACATTCATAGGGTTTCTCACCAGTGTGAATTCTTTGATGTAGAGTAAGTTCTGAGCCATAATTAAAGGTCTTTCCACATTCTTCACACTCATAGCGTTTTTCACCATTATGAATTCTCAGATGTTTAGGTTGTAAGCAATGAATAAAGGCTTTCCAACATTCTTGACATTCACTACTCTTGCTATTACTTTGAATTCTCTGTTGTTTAAGGTTTGATGTATTAACAGTTTCTGTACATTTCTTACATTCGGAAAGTTTTTCTTTAGAATTCATTCTCTTGTGATGACTAAAGAATAAATTGTAACTGAAGTTTTTTCTACAATCTTTACATTCAAATATTTTCTCTCTATTATAAAATTCCTGGGTAAGGAGAGTATGTTGGCTGAAAATGGGCATGTGTTCATGGCTGATAATAAACTGCCTGAGATAGCTCTCCTGTTGTCCCTCAAACTGACTTTTGCATTCCCAAATATCTCTGAAAATGGATTTCTCAGGATTATGGCTTTTAAATTGTTCTATAATAGCCCACTGGGATGATTCTGTCTCATAAATGTCTCTTTTTGGAGATAACTTCTTGGGCTCACACCTGGACAAGTCTGACAAGTCTGAAAGATAAGAAACACATTTTAATTGCTGGTTTTGTGTTAGAAGAGAAATAAAATATCTATGATAGAAAAGACAGATAACTGAGAAAAATAATTGAACTTAAAAAAGTTAAGATGAAAGAAATCAAACTGAGCTCAAAAATTCAATAAGAAATGAAAAGCTTAGAGAGCTCTTTATTACCTTAAATTTTATTTCACATGGAATTAAAAAAAAAAGGTAAGGAAAACAGAGAAGTGGGAGATGATGAGAAAAAGTGAGGGAGTTAATTAACAAACCAAAATGAATGGTTCTGAAATTCTGACCTACCTCAGAATTACCTTGGGAGTTTGTTACAATTATGGATGTTTAGGAAATATTCTAGATCAACTGAATCAGAATCTACTAGAGTCTATTTTAGAATGAAATCAACTGAATCAGAACCTGTAAGTGGCTGTATGCTTAATATTCTCCACTAGGCCAAAGAATTATGTGATGGAGACTGCTAGTTGTCCCTAAGTGTCTATTACTCCCCTTTTGGTTATTGTTTGAACCCATAGTTTTTAGTTGAAAATAAGGCTGCCCTACATAAACACTGCATCTCCCAGGCTCCTTTGCAGCAGAATATGCCATGTAACTGAATTCTGCCTAAAGAAATGCATAAGTATTATGTAGTAGCTTCTGAGAACTTTCCTTAAAGCCAGCTGGCTCACTCACTATATCCTATTCTCCCAATTCCTCAGCAAAGATAGCTGCAATGTGGATTTCGTGTCATGTCTGTCATGTGATGGTTTTACAGAGCAGAGCTGCCATTCCAGCCTGGACTTTTAATGCAAGAAAAAGCTAGCCTTCTATACAGTATGAACCACTGCAATTTTGGGGTCTCTGTCACATGCAGCCAAACCTATATCTAAACTAATATAGTTTCCTATTGAACTGAAATTTAAAGTCCAACTCTTTATATAGAGCCTCTGCTTACCTGTAAGACCTCATTTTGAGTTCATTTTCCCTTTTATTCATGTGCTACACTAACCTCTTTTCAGTGAGGACATTCCAAAGGCTTTTCTTAGAGATTTTCAGAGGTTTCAGAAGAAAAAGTTTGAGACTGACAGCTATTAAAAGCATTCTATTATAACACCATTTGTTTTTCCAATTTTCTTAATGATGGACATTTGGGTTGTTTCCAATTGTCGGCTATTAGAATTAGTACTGCTATGAACATTCTTGTACATTTCTCTCGGTAGAAATAGGACACCTTTCTGCTAGAGGTACAAACCTAGAAGTGAAATTGCTACATCACAGGATATGCATTTTTTTGGATTTAGCTGATGCTATCCAATAATTTTCTAATTTACAATTCCATCAAACTCTTTTTTTTTTTTTTAAAGAGTTCCAGTTCCTCACATCCTCACCAAAACTTGTTACTGTCCACTTTATATTCAGGTATCCTGGAAGATGTGTTCTGATACTGCATTGTGGTTTAATTTGCAATTTCCCTGATGGTAACTGAGGTTGACTGCTTCCTCAGGTTTATTGGCCAACTGGGTATCTTCTTTTAATATACTGCCTATCCAGGTCTTCTGTCCATTTTTTTTGTGTGTGTGTGATAAAATTCATGTATCATAAAATCTGCCATTTTAACCATTTTGAAGTGTACCATTCCATAACCTTGAGTACATTCTCAGTGTTGGGCAATCTTCAGATCATGAATTCTAGAACATTCTCATCATGACAAAAATAAATCTCATACTCTCAGTCATTTCCTAATCCCCAGTTGCCTTTAGCCTCTGGCAACCACTAATGTGCTTTCTGTCTCCAAGAATTTGCCAAATCTGGACATTTCATTCAAATGGAATCATACAGTATGTGACCTTTTGTGTCTGTTTTCAAGGTTCAACCATATTGTAGTATGTATCAGTGCTTCATTTTTTTTTATGGCTGAGGAATATTCTACTGTAAAGATACATCTTCTTTTGTTTATCCCTTTATCAGTTAAGAGATATTTGGGTAGTTTCTGGGTTGTATTTTTCTTTTTGACTTGTAAGAATTCTTAATATATTCTGGATATAACCAACATACATATTGCAAATATCTTCTCCCACTTTGGAGCTGCCCCTTCCACTTTCCCAATAGTATGTTTTGATGAATAGAGGCTCTTAATTTTAAGGCAATCTAATCCCAAGGTCATAAAAATCTAGTCACATTTTCTTCCAGAAATTTTACTATTTTACCTTTCATATTTTAGGTCTATAATCTGCCTACATTAGATTTTACGGTGTGAGATAGGAATCAAGATACCTATTTTTCAATACAGATACTACTGAGTCATTATTTATTGAAAAGATCATCCTTTCCCTGCCTTTGTTTTATATCAAGTGACTATGTAAGTTAGCCATTTTCTCTGTAATCCACTGCAATAAATATTTCAACTCCCATAACTCTGTTGAAACATTTTTAGCTAAAAACACTTAACAAAATCACTTTGCCAAAAGCACTGCTCAAGTGCCAGTCATCACTCTAATTGACTTGTTAGTAACATTTGGCACAAGTGATCAATCCTTTTGCTTCTTGTAGGAGCTTACCCTCCTACCTATCTGTATTTACTTCCTAATCTTTAAATGTTGGAGTATCCAAAACTCAGGTACAGGCCAGCAACCACTCTACACTCTTTTTCTCTAAATACCAGTCTGACTTATACAGTCATATGCTGCTAAGTCTTAAATTTATACCTCTAGCTTTTTTGAACTGTGGCAAAATACATACAATATAAAGTTTACCATCTTACCCATTTTTGAGTGTATAGTTCAGTAGTGTTAAGAATGTTCACCAGATTGTACAACCAATCTCCAGAACTTTTTCTGAAACTGTGTACCCATTAACTCCCCATTCTTCCCTCCCCTAGTTCCTGGCAACTACCATTTTGTTTTCTGTTTCTATGGATTGACTAGATACTTCACATCAATGTTTTTGTTGTCAAAGTCACAGTATTTTTGTGTGACTGACTTATTGCACTTAGCATAATATGCTTAAGGTTCATCCATGTTGTAGCATGTGTCATAATTTATTCCTTTTTAAGGTTGCAAAATATTCTGTCATAGGTATATATCACCTTTTGTTTATCCATTTACCTGCTGATGGACACCTAGGTTACTTTAGGTTATTGTGTATAATGCTGCTAAGAACATGGGTGTACAAATATCTGTTTGAGTTGCTTTCATTTCTTTTGGGTATATATCCACAAGTAGATTTGCTACATCATACAGTAATTCTATTTTTAATTTTTTGAAGAACCACCATACTGTTTCCCACAGTGGCTTCACCATTTTACACTCCTAGCAGCACAGGAGTTCCAATTTTTCCACATCCTCATCAACACATTATTTTCTGCTTTTTTGGATAGTAACTATCCTAATGGGAGTGAAGGGATATTTCATTGTGGTTTTGCTTTGCATTTCCCTAATGGCTAGTAATGTTGAGCATCTTTTCATGTCTATGCTGGCTACCTGTATATCTACTTGGGACAAATGTCTACACAATTCCTTTCCCCATTTTTTAAATTGAGTTGTTTGGGTTTTCTGATGTTGAGTTATACAAGTTTTTTTATATATTCTAGGTATTATCCCCTTATCAGATATATGGTTTACAAAAATTTTCTCCTATTCTGTAGGTTTTCTTTTCACATTACTGACTGTGTTCTTTGATGTGCATACTTGCAGCTTTTATCTTACTCCTGAGCTCAACATTAATCATCTAATTGCTTACTTGAATCTTCATGTAAATATGTAATAATTATCTCAACTATAACATGTCCAAAGAGAACCTAAATTCCTCCTTTTTACACTGGTCCACAATTCAGCTTAACTCATGCCAGTAAATGCAACCATCTTTAACCAATAGGTTAAGCCAAAAGTCGTTTTTTTCTTCTTACTGAACTTATAGTCCATTAACATCAACAAGCATGATCAACTTGTTACTTAGTATGTATAATGGCATCTGATAATTTATCACCATTTCTAGCACAGTTTAAACTACTACCATTGTACTGCAATATACTCTCTTAATTTTCCTCTGGGTATGTCTTTATTTCTTCTTCATCCATCCCTTAAGGATAGTTTCAGTGGGTAAAGAATTTCAGATTGATAGTTCTTTCAGCACTTGGGAAGTATTGTGCCATTTCCTTTTGGTCTCCATGTTTCAGATGAGAAATCCAGTCTTTCAAATAGGTGTTTCTTTAGCATTAATACATAACGTTTGTATCTCACTGGCTAATTTTTTCTTTGCTTAGTTTTCAGAAATACGGTCTTGGTTTAATTTCTTTGGATTTATCTTATTAGGAATTTTCTGTTTCCTGAATCCATAGATTTGTATCTTGTAAAAAACTTGGGAAGGTTTCAACCATTATTTCTTTGAGTACATTCTCAGTCCCCAAGTCTTTCTCCTCTCCCTTTGGACTTGGATGCTATGAATGCTGAGTTTTTTGTTATTGTCCCACATGAATTAAGCCTCTATTTTTAAGTCTGTTTATCATGAATTTAGCTTAAGCAAATTTTGTTTTCATGTCACTGAATCTAGCCTCTGCCATCCTCACTTTAATTTAAAAATTTTTTAATTGAAATACACTTGATACAGTCTCCACTCTATTCTTGAAACCATTTGGTGTCTTTTATAATGGTGACTATATTTTTTGTTCCATTTAGTTCTTATAACTACTTTTTTTCTGAGATATTCTATTTTTTTCATTTGTTTCAAGAGATTTTTATGATTATCAATGCCTTTTTATCAAGACTGCTTTAAAATCCTTGTCAGATAATTCCAAAACCTGATTCATCTAGATGATTCCTGATGATTCTAAGCCTTCTACTTTAGCAGTCACAACTAAGTTTAGTACAGAGATCTGGCCTACTTTTGTAGGCTTTAGTTCTACTGGCAGCTTAGTTTTCAGAGCCTTTGCAATGCAATTCTGATCTGCGTCAGACCTCTGGTACCATTAGGGTTCTTGTTCAATCTCTGGTGTTGTCTGCAA